GTTCTGCCGGGAGGGGGGGGGGGGGGGGTGCAGTTTGGCAACTTCGCCCTGGGCACTAGAGGACCTTGTCCCGGCACTGGCTGTAGCATCAACAGCACCCTTCCATGGGAGAACCTGAACTCAGTCATCTGGAGGGGGGCCCACCTAATTTTGGCCATGTAGGAAGGCTGATGGTCGGGTGTTTACAATCTTTTGGCCATCTAGAGTACTTTAGAATGTGCTGATGACGTATTTTGCCCCGGAACTGGCTATAGTATTAACAGCACCCTTCAATGGGAGCACCCAACCTCAGTCATCTGGAGGAAAGCCCACCTAATTTTGGCCATGTAGGAAGGCTGATGGTCGGGTGTCCCTAATCTTTTGGCCATCTAGAGTACTTTAGAATGTGCTGATGACGTATTTTGTCCCGGCACTGGCTGTAGCATTAACAGCACCCTTCCATTGGAGAACCAGAACTCAGTCATCTGGAGGGGGGCCCACCTACTTTTGGCCATGTAGGAAGGGTGATGGTCGGGTGTTTACAATCTTTTGGCCATCTAGAGTACTTTAGAATGTTCTGATGATGTATTTTGTCCTGGCACTGGCTATAGTATTAACAGCACCCTTCAATGGGAGCACCCAACCTCAGTCATCTGGAGGAAAGCCCACCTAATTTTGGCCATGTAGGAAGGCTGATGTTCGGGTGTCCCTAATCTTTTGGCCATCTAGAATACTTTAGAACGTGCTGATGACGTATTATGTCCCGGCACTGGCTGTAGCATTAACAGCACCCTTCAATGGGAGCACCCAACCTCAGTCCTCTGGAGGGGGGTCCACCTACTTTTGGCCATGTAGGAAGGTTGATTGTTGGGTGTCCCTAAACTTGTGGCCATCTAGAGTACTTTAGAATGTCCTAATGATGTATTTTATGGTGTCAATAAAATGGAAACAAAATTCTATACAATGTCTTTTTGTTTTTTGGTGGTGGAACCCAATGGACACACGCAACCATGTATCATCGGGTCTAGATACATTTGATAAGCAGAATGGACGAATAACCTTTTGCCCAACTTCTGAGGCGTTAAAAGAGGAACTGCGTGTTGTTTCTGTTGCTAGGTGCCAAGAAGATGGTTTTAGGAAGGAAATAGAAGGATTGTGAAAGCGATTTCTCCGCAACCCAACCTATAACAACACATGAGTGTCAACCATGACCATCTGCTTGTACCCCACCTCCCTTCCACTGCACTCTACTCTTCCTATGCTCAGTGTGGGGGAGAGGTGAGCTGAGTGACTTCTGCAAAACTGATTTTTTTTTTTTTTAAGCCCGTGGACGTGCATCAAAACAAACTTCCCCCTGTGAACAAAAAAAGTGAACCGTGAAATCACAGCACACAAAAAACGTGCACAAGGGTGCAAGGTCCTTCCAAAGAAGGGACCTACTTTCCCGACCCCCCGGGGCGCAAGGCTCCTGACAGGGGTTGAGACTGTCGGCCCACCAACCCGAAGGCCGGAGGACCGTTTCCGTCGGGGACCTGCCGAAACAGGTCCCACACAGTACTAGGCAGGGGGGATCTCCCGAAGAGAAACCCCCCTCCTGGATGGGAGGAGACAGAGAACCCCGTAGGAGGCACAGAATCTCCTCCCAGCATCAGGAATAGGGCCCCGAAGAAAGCTGCACCTTCAGCATCTGTGGGTCAATGCTTTTAAAAAAAGCCAATCGTGCAAACGTGCATAGAGTGCATCAATAATAAAGTGCCAGTGCACCACGCTGACAGGCCTTAGGGGCCGAGTGCAAAAAAATTGCCCCGGACTAGCCATAAGGCCTGTCCAAGAGGCGTTGTGCAGAAAAATGCAATGTGGTGTGTGACCGAGTGATCAGTGAGTCAAAGTGGGGTCCCATACCCAAGTGACTTCCTGAGCACCCCTGGGACGCCACCCCCAGGGGGCACAACACCACGGGCTTCTGCCGCCCCCGAACCCTCTAGCCTTGATCAAGTTTCGGATCCATTCCCATCAGGAGATAGTTCACCTTCAGAGATCCCTCCCCTGGAGCCCACCCATTAACTAGGGTCGAAAACTCCGGGGCCTGGAACCTCATCCGGCTCCCTACCAATTACGCCAGGAACCTACCGGTCCGTCCATCCACCCTTCATAGGCGACAGCGGACTTTCAGTTCCCGACAACTGATAAGAACAGATACTACACTTGATCTTAGCCAAAAGGCCGAGAAGCGATAACTGATTCTGCAGTGAAAGTACGCATTTCACCACCGGCAAAGTTGCGCCAAATCTCATTTTCGTTTCGTAAGCTGCCTAGGCTGAAATTCTTATGGAGATGAAAATGTTTTACTTTTTTTTCCCATTTTCTCACATTTCGGTGAAAATGAAAACTCTGAACGATGCCCAACGTTGTCCATAGGCCATTCATTTATATAGGTTCATAGTGCCTCCATTCCGGCATCTTGACACTCGAGTTGCTCTTCACCCAACTGGTCAAACCATGTCTATATGGAGCTGGCTTGGTACACAGGGGACAATCATGTTCAGTAGGGTTGACGTCAGGGTTTTTTGCCGGACACTCGAGTTGCTCCTTACCCAACTGGTCAAACCATGTCTTTATGGAGCTGATGAAGGGTGAAGGATAGGTACACCTGTTCCAATGACAGCTGTCTAAGAGGCTTTTGTATGTGTGAAAGCCCTGACAGAGAGAAGTAAGAATTGGCTCCGATCAAAATACAGTGGAGGAGTGTGTTTTCTTTCACGTAAGCAGATCCCTTATGGAAGCATGATGTATATACAGTATATTGACCTGGTCCTAGGCCACTCTCTCTATCTGATCACGATAAACAAATTGCTCAAAAGATTGACTCTGGTGAAGAGCAGCTTATGCAAATGAGCGTATCGCTTAAGAAGTCCTTTTGAAACCTTGATTGGTTAAGAGCATCAGATACAGCCAAAGTGTTTCAGGGGAAACAGGGGAATCACAATGAAATTCACTGGAGGACCTGAGTTAAGGCTTCATAGAGACTTGCGTCTACTAATGGTCCCAGCCGGCCGTCTTTAGTTGCATTAGGAGAGTCCCCTCCGAACCTTAATTTAGACCTTCAATTTCATAACATGAATTGCTCAAGCCCTGAAGAAGGGGGAGGCCCCCCCCTCCCCATCAAAAAAAAAAGTTGGCTGTATTTGATGCTCTCAACCAATAAACATTTCATAATATATTATCAGTTGTGCCAGCCGCTCCTCAATACTCATCCAAGAGTCGTCTAAGAGGGGAATTCCCCTCATTTTGTAGACTTCCAATCTCACTTCTTGTTGCATCTTAGAGATAGGAAGTGAATGGAAAATAATGATGTGCTAGGTCTGTTTCATGGAAGTCAGCCATTAAAAAAATACAAGTTGTGGCTGATGAGTGATTGGGTAACAAAGTCTCCTTGTTATGTATCTATTTCTAACTTTTTGTATTTTCTCATTTTCCCGGCAGCTGCACCTACGGTGGACCACGCCAAGCTGACCAACTGGCAGCAGCAACCCGTGAACGTGTTTCTGTCCTCTAAGCGGCCCCCATGCGTAGAGGAGCTGCATCAGGAGGCCGAACTCAACCTACAGACCTTACTCCAAGGTAGGGAAGGGCTCCTGTAGGGGAGCAGGGGCAGTCTTTAGAAGGCCCTGTGGACAATCAATGACTTGCTATATATTGCAAATTCTATAAGTCTATAGATATCTGTCAGTGGCCTCGGAATTCTCTAATGGCCCCTAACCTAAAACATGCCTGTGGTATCTAACAAAATGTCGGCAATCTCTATTGGGATGGTTGCTGTTGAGGAATCACCAGTTCTCCTGTTAACTGTGTTATCTTGTAGGATTATTGTCCAGCCGGTTATTTGAAAGCACGCTCTTGGTCACTTACCTATTCTACTATATGACACAGCACATGGCTATACTGCCTACTACAGGGCGGTCATGGGGAGTGAAGTAGCCCTAGGGGGTTCTTGGTGGTAGATGGTCTGTAGAAGCTCAGCTCGTAGATGGTCCTTAGGGTGGGTCCCTGTAGATGTGGGATGGTTGTAGAGGTAGATGTAGGAGAAACCCTGTAGATGGTTGTAGAGGTAGATGTAGGAGAAACCCTGTAGATAGTTGTAGAAGTAGATGTGGGAGAAACCCTGTAGATGGTTGTAGAGGTAGATGTAGGAGAAACCCTGTAGAATAGATGGTTGTAGAGGTAGATGTGGGAGAAACCCTGTAGATGGTTGTAGAAGTAGATGTGGGAGAAACCCTGTAGATGGTTGTAGAGGTAGATGTAGGAGAAACCCTGTAGAATAGATGGTTGTAGAGGTAAATGTGGGAGAAACCCTGTAGATGGTTGTAGAGGTAGATGTAGGAGAAACCCTGTAGAATAGATGGTTGTAGATGTGGGAGAAACCCTGTAGATGGTTGTAGAGGTAGATGTAGGAGAAACCCTGTAGAATAGATGGTTGTAGATGTGGGAGAAACCCTGTAGATGGTTGTAGAGGTAGATGTAGGAGAAACCCTGTAGAATAGATGGTTGTAGATGTGGGAGAAACCCTGTAGATGGTTGTAGAGGTAGATGTGGGAGAAACCCTGTAGAATAGATGGTTGTAGATGTGGGAGAAACCCTGTAGATGGTTGTAGAGGTAGATGTAAGATAAACCCTGTAGATGGTTGTAGAGGTAGATGTAGGAGAAACCCTCTAGATGGTTGTAGAGGTAGATGTAGGAGAAACCCTGGAGATGGTTGTAGAGGTAGATGTAGGAGAAACCCTGTAGAATAGATGGTTGTAGAGGTAGATGTAGGAGAAACCCTGTAGATGGTTGTAGAGGTAGATGTAGGAGAAACCCTGTAGAATAGATGGTTGTAGAGGTAGATGTAGGAGAAACCCTGTAGATTGGAGTAGATGTGGG